GTCAGGGGTAGGCATATCCTCGATTATGCTTTAGTAGCTAATGAGTTCATTGACCCTGTTAAGAAAAACCGACAAAAGGGAGTTCTATTCAAAGTTTACTTTAAAAAGCCATTTTTGAAGCCATTTTCTCCTCCTCCGATGGCATTGAAGACTCTAACTTTGCAGAGTCCCTCGCTGTCAATGTAGGCATTTCTTTATTCCTTTCGACCCATTGGCCCATCCAACAGTCTCTTGTTGTCGAAGTGATTCCAAAAATGCCATATGCCGGGGCTATTAACCATGGAACCGCATCTTCACGTATGAAGGCTATCTCTAATAGCATTGAGTCTCTCAAGCTAGAAACAAAGGGGATCACCTCTGCCCGTGATATGAGGGAAAGCTAACAACTTTTGTTGATGGCCTTGTAAAAGCTGGAATATAATAAAAAACCATCTCTACAAGAAAATCTTGGAAGTGAGGAGGCATGATTCAGAATACACTGCAGAAAGTGAGAGGAACAGAATAGCTCAGTCTCAACCACATAGAAGCCATCTGTATTCCCAATACAGTAACATCTATAATTATATTCATTATTCTCATTGTTAACCAAAGAAAAGATCTGTTGCCTAGGCTGGTTTTGTTCTCTACCTACTGTTGAGCTGAATGATTATATTAATGACGCTGTGTTGTGAAGGTTTTTGCTAGTACTTTTTTCTTCCGATGATGTCAAAGGTCCTATATTAAAAAGTTGAAAATAACTTCAAAGCAAAACTAAAAACTCTATAGGTGTAATATCTCAAAAAAATTGTTAAATTATTTTAAAATTTTAAATAAATTTTTATTATTTTATTACATTCAATTAAGTCTTTGTACGTTTATTTTGAATTAAATAAATTTTTATAATTAATAATTGAGTAATTATTGTAATTAATTAAAATATTATTTATTATTTTATGTCATGTGACAGGTTAACAAATCATAATAAATAATCACATGATATATTGATATGATATTTTGACATAATCATGTGTAACATTTTACTTTTAATGTTATCGTCATGTCAATATCACGAAGATATAAAATAATTAATAATATTTTGATTAATAATAATTAGTTAATTATTAATTATAAAGGTGAAAATAAAAATACATGAGCTTGATTGTATGTTGTAAAAAAATAATAACTTATTTAAATTTTTTTTAAATAATTTAAAAAAAAATTTCAAACATTGTGCCAAAAATATATAAAATTCAGGAAATATTCTTTACTTGGAGTTCCTTTATGTCACCATAAATTGGTTGCTTAGCAGTTAATTATATTATCAAAACCGCATCATTTCTAGTAATCCTAATAATTAAATAAAAAAAAAGATAATATGTAATTTGAATAAAAGTCTAAACTGTCGTAAAATGATGATCGATATTAATTGTATGTAATTGTAAAACAATTTTAATATTCGTAATTCGTATTTATAAATTTTTTATAAAGTTCAAGTGTACTTTGATAGAATTCATGATATGTTATTAAAATTAAATTATTATAATTTTGACTACCACAACGTTCAAATATCGTATTTGATCAAGTATAAGCTTATTAAGTATCCCACAAAATTCACTTAAAAAAGAAAGTATCCGACAAATTATTTTGGAATTATAATGAAATGCAATGATAGCAATATCGAAGTGAATCCCATGAAATTTAGGCTTGCCTGGCCCATTGGTATTTTACTACGTGGGAATTGGAGAGCATCTTACAAATCCGTGTCTTGGCCCTTGGGCATGAGGTTTAGAAGCCCATAAGAAATTAATTCCTCTTAACATAAATCTTAAAAAAAAAAAAATAATTAAACAAGGAGTCTGGCAGCAAAAACTTGCTGTAATCATAGATTGGTTACTTGGGCAAAACGAATAAAGACTATCTTTTGCTAATAGTAGAGGTGTTTAATGTCGAGTTACTTGTTCAAGTTTACAAACTCAATTTACTTTAAGTTAAGTTTAACTATTTAAATTTAATATGATTTTATTAAATTATAATATAATTTTAATTTTAAAATATATTCAAAAATAAAAGTAATGTACCTTTAACTGAAACTAATTAATGTGCAATTTGACTATTAGTTTGGACATCATAAAAGCATTCAAAAGGGTTTTAAAAAATTACAATGATCTCTCCCAGTGGTATCCTACAGCTGCAAAGATAGGTTAAAGGTTACTTTCTGTATCCTATTATTGATGTGATGACTGCATCAATAGCTATCAAGCTTCACCCTAGTCAATAAACCTTTTTTTTTTTTGGAGTGAAAACCTTTTTAATTATAAAGACCTTTGAAAAAGTGATTATCGCTGTAGTTGATTGTGTAATTTCAAAAATAAATGGACAATAATTTTAATGATTTGATGAGTGCTGGTTTTTTCCTTGTTTTTTTTTTTTTTCATTTCTTCTGTAATGAATAATACTATTTATGCTTACACTGGATGAAGGAAATAAGATGAAGGAGATAGAGACTCGAAGGCATATAATGGAATGGAACCCAAGCCTGGCAAGAAAACGAGCCTGCTTGTCAAACAAATGGATCAAAAGGTTAAACCCCTTGAATATATATATATACACTATAGTCCTTAAATTAATTTCAACAATTACTCACTTAAATGCCTCCATGATATTATATTTACTTTCCCCTGTCCTAAGTAAACTTATCTAATACACGTGGAAATATGGATTTACAGTTAATTTGAAGTAAAGTTAGATGGTGAAATTAGGTATTATGCCTTTGTAGTTTTTTGTTTATCGGCAAGACATATATATATGTATATATACATAATCCTGATAATTGCTACTATAATATATTGATATGAATCGTATATCTCAAAATATATGTATGTATGTATCAGTCTACAACTTAACATCGACATTAAAAGCTTCAAGAAGGGTATGATCTATACCAACCAGAGGGAAGCTTTATTCAGCTAAAAGCATGGAGCATTAGCGTGTGTCTTGTCAACCGGATTTGAACAATTCTCTTACTGAGAACGCGTAAGATAAGTTTAGAAAGTCCACACCAGTGCAGTTGCAGGTGTAAACACGATTAATTTATTAGTTGTAAACTTGTAGTTTGCCTCCAATGTTCATGGCTAGCTGGATACAAATCAGAGACTGTTATTCTTTTGGTTAATCAAGATTCGGTGCTAAAGCCTGACCATTTATCATTATTTATCCTTGCATTGCCTGCCATGCGATTCATTTGATGTCACTTGCTTCAAAAAACAGCATATTCCTACAACTTGGATATGTATTAAACCAGCTGATAGCCAATGATTGTCAAGCAAAACCTTCCGTTCAAAGTTTGTTGTAAAGTACCAACCACTCTTACCAAACATACGCTTGGGTACTTTCCAACTTACTGCAATTCTTTTTGAGGGACATGGCACGGACTTTTGTGGGAATTCTTATGACAACAATCATATTACCTTTTCCCCTTTTTTCTGTCACTTTCGACCATGGTGGCTCAAGGAAGAACATGGGCACTCTGTGTCTCACAGCAGCTAGCCAGCTTAATTATGATAACAAGAAGCAGTCTATTAAAGCTTTTTTCTTTTAATTTAGGAGAATGAAGGATTGCTCTCTGAACAGGGGATTATGCACTAGCATGCAGCAGCACATTTAAACTTGAATATGCATGAGCTCATGTTCAGGGCAATAATGGTATCTGCTGGTCAGTTGAAATTGCACATTTCATCAACTCTCGCGTCATCAAGAAATCATATTGCTATCTATTTTCCACGTTCAAAGAATCACGTAGACGAGACTACTTGCATTTCCTATCATGAGATAAGTTGTTTATGAGGTTGCCATCTCACTTTGGTTCTAGCACAGGACTCCTTTCAAGGTCCTTCAATGCACAAATGGCACGTAAGGCATTCCATGATTACAAATAAGATCATGGAAGATTTTACAGATACACAAGCAACACTCTCCTTTACCTTTGATCAAACTTTGGTTAAATTAAAATCTTACCGTCATTTTCATAATCCAATTTTGTTGTTCAAAATTTGATTTCCATTTTCCTTGCACTATAAGACAGTGACAAAAGAGTCATACATTGTTTGTAATTACAAGAATTCAAGGGATAAACATACAGAAACCTCTCCACCTCCCTCGGATTGCGGAAAAATAAGGGAAAAGCTACCAAGAAATTTCCATTGCGTCCAAGGAATCAGATGTCATGTCAATTATTTGGTCTAGCGATTTCAGAATCTTGACAATCCTGGCCAGGAACATTTGGTTTACATCTTAGAGTAACTGAGGCAATTAACTTTTGTTGGGCAAAAAAGCAAGATGCTTACGTTTTACCATTGTTATTGCATGTTGAAGTCAAGTTTCTGGGTTTCAGAGCCATCCGAAGTGACAAAAAGTTCAATCTTACGAGAAACTTTACCAAATCCATGCCGTGATTGGTGGATTCAATAGAGCATTGTAATGCTAAATATACCTGGTTCTCATAGTATCTCCGACATACATAGATTGAATAATTTTCAGAGAAAGCCTTTAATTTTGATTTTTTGTAGTACCAACTATTATTGACTTTTAGGCCAATTTTTTAAATTCTCTTGAGACTTAATCGATGAAAATTCAATTAAATATAACCAAAGATTCATATTTTTTATTAAAAATGTCGATGTTATAAAACATGTGAATATATTTATATATATGTGAGTATTTTTTTGTTAATTACGTTATTTCTTTTCATTCGACGTTTGTAAAAATTGAATCCATAAATGGTTAAGAGGTAATTAAAAACTCTAAATCTTGTAATTGTGTGAGTTTGTACACGCGAAAATGAGAGGAAAACAGAGAAAGAAAGAAAGAACGGACCCAGGAGAGGAAAAGCAATCGATGACCCAATCAAACTTTCAAATATAAATCCTTATACAGTAAGCTATATGAAAATAAAGGAGATTGACGCGTGAAAGTTTTCTATATATAATGGCCAGATGTAAGTCATGCATTCACAGACTAAGAAAACCAGTTCCAGGGAGGAAACCACAACATGTACTCTTCCATTGCCAATTCTTGCTTCATCTTGTCAGCCATTTTGCTGACATTATTGGCTTATCAATCAAAAGCTCAATTGAGTGCTACATTTTATGCTACCACATGCCCCAATGCATCTAGCATCGTCCGCAGCGTTATTCAGCAGGCTCTGCAATCTGATGTTCGGATTGGTGCCAGCCTCATCCGACTCCATTTCCATGATTGCTTTGTCAATGTAAATTCAATCTCCAAAAGACTATTCGTACATCGGTCTCATCTGAAGGTTTATTGTTGTTTGATTCTCCTTTTTGGATTTTACTTAATGTGGTTGATTTCATTTAAATATCACAGGGATGCGATGCTTCAATCTTGTTAGACAACAGCGCCAACATACAGAGCGAGAAAGATGCTGCTCCAAATACCAACTCCACTCGAGGCTTTAACGTTGTTGATAACATCAAAACTGCTCTTGAAAATTCTTGTCCTGGCATTGTCTCTTGTGCTGATATTCTGGCCCTTGCTGCTGAAGCTTCTGTTTCTTTGGTAACACAAAAGAGCCCATTCTTGTTGTTAACTTCCTCTTTCTTCAATTGCGGACAAATTAATAAAAACGTGCAAAGTTTTCCAAAATAATTAAAGTAATAAATGGATATTAAGCCATGAATCAGATAGGCTAGGCAGCTCACAAAAGTATCCTCTGTGCTTGAAGCAAGGAGGTCCTTCATGGAGCGTACTGCTTGGGAGAAGAGACAGTTTGACAGCAAACCAGGCTGGAGCTAATTCCTCCATTCCCTCACCCTTTGAAGGCTTAAGCAACATTACTTCCAAGTTCTCTGCAGTCGGGCTAAATACTAATGATCTTGTTGCATTATCTGGTAACTATTTAAATCTTCCAGTATTACTTGCTTTGTAGGATATACTGACATTTTCATTCTCATCATCTCTTTAGTCCCCCATCCCATCCCGTGCTTATCTTCCAAAAAATTATAATAGGAAACTACCACGTTCTTTCATTCTCTGATCTTAAATTCGAGATTGACAAGAGCATTATCCTGATTGTCACTCTTTCCCCATCTGTGATTATGTAGGTGCACATACTTTTGGACGTGCTCAGTGCAGATTATTCAGCAACAGGCTATACAATTTCAGCGGAACAGGCAACCCTGACCCAACACTCAATTCATCATACTTGACTACCCTCCGACAAATCTGTCCGCAATCCGGGAGCGGATTCAACGTAGCAAATCTTGATCCCACGACCCCTGATACTTTTGACAGTAACTATTTTACCAACCTACAAAACAATCAGGGCCTTCTCCAATCAGACCAAGAGTTGTTTTCAACGGCTGGTGCTCCCACAATCTCCATTGTCAACACCTTCAGCGGTAACCAAACTGCCTTCTTTCAAAGCTTTGCTCAGTCCATGATTAATATGGGGAACATCAGTCCATTAACAGGAAGCAGTGGAGAGATCAGATCAGATTGTAAGAAAGTTAATGGAAGTTAATTAATCTCCATGTTCTATACATAGAAGCTGCTAGCTAGTTACAGATCAAGTTCAAGCTATGTTTTAAGAAAAAAAGGGAGAATGGATTTTATAAAGAATCAAAACTGAAATCACAGGATAATGGGATCCTATCATGTTTGTATGCAGTGAAGTTTGATCTGGAAGTGGATTATCTGTCACCAAATGTGCCTGTAAGAAATAAATTGGTAAAGACATATTAATGAAATTATTGTGTGAATGACCAGGCATCTGGCAACTGTTGGTTCTATCTTTTCTAGGTATTGGCCCAGAAAGTAGGGAAAAACCCTATATCCAACATCAAATTATCAATCAGTCTTGTCAAAGACTTATCCAATTTATCATCAAAATGCGGCCAAGACATCATCTTCTCATTAGCCGTTCGTTCAAATCATGTCGATCTGTGAGACAAATGAAAAAGAAAAGTGAACATAAGATGAAGAACTGACTCAGCTTGGGACAAAATAAAACATTACTGTGCATGGAAAATCGTTGACTCACATCCTATCCTATGTGCAGTCGAAGTCAGATAAAGGTACATAATAATTAATGTGTTGGTATGAAATGAAAATGGAATTCATTTTAACTTGATAATGAATTCTATATTAAAATTCGATCGCAAATCAACCTTTATCATGTGAATTTGGATTGTAAACAAAGGCTAAATTGTAGTTTCCAAATAAAAATTAAAACCACATTCAATGGAGAATAAGGTCTTGCAAATATCTACCAATCAATCAGTTAAAAGACAACAGCTTATGACATGCAGGAAAAATAAATCTTCCCTACCCCCCTTTCCCAAATTAGACCCAAAAGTATATAGGTATCATTGTAATTATAAATAATTACTATAAACTTATATAAATGTATACAACCATTCTTATTAAGAACAACAGCTAGGCTAACAGGGGAAGAAAGCATCAATATACACTTTCCATCATCAAATCATGTTGGCAAATTAGCTAGCTAGTAGCTCCTTTTATCACATTTTCCTGGTCTTTTTCTTTTTTCATGAATGTCTCAAAAAATGAAATTCTCTTTTTCATTTTTAAACATTTAATTTATTTATTTGTCATAATTTTTATATTACTTTTAATATTAAATAACATTGAATATATATATATTTAATGCAAAAACTATTAAAATCAAAATTTTTGTCTTAACAACTGTGGAATTCAAATAATAAAATAAAATTTCAGAGATTATATAATTACAATGTAAGACACTTCACTCTAAATATAATTTTAATATGGTGTTTGTTTGGTTAAAGACTTAAAAGTGGTTAAAATCATAAATGCAATTTTTTAATGCCACAATGATATCCAACAAAAGACAAAATAATAGTAAAAGTTTATTTAAAAACATAAACGAGATTAAATAAATCTTAGTAAATTAAGAAGAAAAATCTTAGTCCAATGCACTGCTGTGATATCGGTTGGAATTCGATAGGATACAAACTTTGACAACTTATAATCTCCCGTCAACCCACCTAGAATTTTGCCACGTCATAATCTAATTCAGTCTATTCATCATTACCGTTGATTAAAAACCCAATCATAGATTACAAAACAAGGAGAAATACACAGAATCCTCCCTCTTTCTCTCTCTCCTTCCTTGGAGGTTTCAACTTTCTAAAAATTTCCCTCACTCATATAATTTTTTCTCTCTTTTTAATTTATTTTCCCAATCTCGCTCAACAAGGTGAAGGCTCACTGACCCAACAAGATAACAATCCATGGCGAGTCAACTTGAGCCAACTCAACTCAGAAACTGCTCCCACCATCCAACTCAGTGACTCAGAGCTCTTAAAAAGCTCCGAGTTTGTTGATGGTCAAGATCGTCAGCTGTAAAACCCAGGTCTTTCTTGTTCTTCTTTAAGCCTCATTTTTACTGGAAATTTTCCATATTTATTTGTTGTTGTCTTTAAAGTCAGCATCTTGATGACCTAAAGTTAGGTTTCTTCCAATTTGAGAGGTTGTGGATTTGGGTTTTAGATCTGGGTTTCTTGATATTTGTGGTGAAATTAGGGTTTACTTGTTGGTTTTGATCAATTTGTGATAGGGAAGGGTTTGTGGATTTGGGTTTTTATTGGTTTTTTGGGTAAAATTGAGGATTTGATGATTTGGGTTTGTTTTGTTTTATGATTCTGTGATATGGGTTTCCTTAATTTTAGGTTAAACTTAAGGTTTTCATATCTTGGTACCTTGAACTTGTAAAGGTTATAAAGAGCGTTTTCCTGAGTTGAAAAGAAGGGTTGTTTTGGAGCATTTGTCATGGGTGAGGAAACAACTGATACAATGAACCTTGATTTGAATCTGGGTCCAGCTCCTGAGACAGGGTCAGGATCAGTGTCGAATGAAAGTGTGAATTGGGATGATTTGGTTGATAACCCGTTTGATAGGATTAGAGAAGCTGTTAGGCGTAGGCGGTGGAGATGGCAGCAGGTTGAAATTCCTACTGCGACTCAGAACCTCTCTGTGGAATTGGATCAATTTATGGGGAATTCGGGCAATGTGAGCACTTTACAGGCAGGTGAGGGCAGTGTTGCTGCTGAGGAAAGAACGACTGATGTACCCAAAGCATGTGAAAATACCAATGGATTTTTGGAAGATGAGGTTTCAGAAAAAAAGGATGATATTGAGAAGGGTGTTACCAATGATGGGAGTTTTTTTGATTGTAACATATGCCTGGATTTGGCTCGCGAACCTGTTGTAACTTGTTGTGGACACTTGTTTTGTTGGTCTTGCCTCTATCGATGGTTGCATGTGCATTCAGATGCAAAGGAATGCCCTGTCTGCAAAGGAGAGGTGACTGTTAAAACTCTGACCCCAATTTATGGTCGGGCAAACATTACCCATGAGCCGGAAGAGGACTCAGGTCTTAAAATCCCTCCTCGGCCCAGTGCACGGCGGGTGGACAGTTTGAGGCAAACTATTCAAAGGACTGCTTTAAATCTCCCAGTGGAGGAGATGATTCGCCGTCTTGGAAGCAGATTTGATTTGACCCGTGACCTGACTCCACCACGGGAGGCCAATGGTGCGCGGGAAACTACAGAAAGAGCTAATTCCATCCTTAACAGGATTTTGACATCTCGAGGATTGCGAGGAGAGCAAAATACAGGTGTGTCCCTTGATGATGTTGATTTGACACCTAGCAGCACAACTGGTAATGAGGTTATGTCCTCCCGGGTTCATTCTTTGTATCATCAAAGACAATCACAAATTCGAAGAACTTCAAGAATAACTTCTCTGACATCTGCACTGAGTTCAGCAGAAAGGATAGTTGAGGCATATTTTCGAAGCAACCCAGTGGGAAGAAATCAGGAGCAGCCACCAACAGTTGATGATAGAGATTCTTTCTCAAGCATTGCTGCTGTAATAAACCCGGAGAGTCAAATGGACACTGCTGTCGAAATAGACTCTGTGGTATCACTTTCAGCTTCCTCTTCTAGAAGAAGAAACGATGCTTCAAGGGTTTCAGATGTTGATAGTGGTGACTCTCGTGCACATAGAAGGAGACGACTGAACTAGGAACTAGAAAGATTTTTGTCGAATCTCATGTCCTGGAACTGCTCAAAAGTAGTCTTAACTGCATTATATTTATATTGCTTTCACCTTACAAAGAATTCAGCTTCATCATTTATGATTTCGACAAGGGTGATCATAAAGCTTCCAAATAGATTTGTGCTCGCATTATGTGAATTGAAATGTTATCATCCTTACCTAAGGTTCCGTCCTTGATGTTGTATGGCAAAACAAATTTGTACCGAGCTAGTAGACCCATCTTTACTCTTGCTGTACATAACCATGCAAGCCTCATATATCTGATTATCTTTGCTTTCAGATGTCTTCTTCTTCTTCTTCCTCTTCTAATCTCTAAATCTTTATTTTGTATGGAAAATCTGCTAAAGCTATTATTTTCATCACCTCCGAAATTTAATTTCTTATCTATCCTAGGGTGGATGTGTTGTTGTCAATTTGTTTTAAGGTCATTTATCTCCACCAATGCCAATTGCCAATTAGGAAGTTTTCTTTTTCTCCTCTATCCTGAGATAAATCATAGTAATCTGGAAATTTGTTGGGATAATCCAACACTGCTCCCACCCACTAACCCAGAAAAAAACTGCATATAATTAGATCATTTTCTTTTTATAGTATTGAAAAGGAGAAGGGAACTGAATCTAGCTGTTTAAATGAGGATGCAGTTTACATGTGCTCCCTGACCATTAGATCATTCATTTCATCAAATCCTCTTTTTTGGTAGAGAAGGCAATAAAAATCCAAGGATATTTGGACATTGGGGCTTGGTTTAATTGTCCAGCTTGTCAGAAAATGAATTGTCACAGTTGCAGCCCAGTCGTAGTCCTGCTTCCATTTACCAAATTCTGGTGCCGGGTCAGCTTAAGAATTTGGGCCCCAAAATTATAATCCTTCCTTCTGCTCTCAATAGCTAGCTAGCTTTAACATTTTCCTTGGGTTTTTTCCGATCCTATTTTACAAAAGCACGATACAGAATGTACTCAAAGACAACACAAATCTGCTCGGCCATTTCCTTGGTTCTAGCCATACCCCTTCTTCTTACAAGAAACTTTCAGCTTGAATTCCCTATTCCCAGTACATATATCAACAAACAAATAAATCCCAAGTGCTAAAGCAAACGTTTACTATTCCATTTGGGTTTCATAATCCTATAAACTGTTTACAGCCTCGACTTCTTACAGACGCTGATTTATTAGGCAAGGCGTGAAGGAGAAATAATTAGTCTTGTTTATTCTTCTTTTTCTTTTTAAAGTTTAACTGGGACGTAAAAGCATTGACTTAAGATGGAGTTAAAAATTATACTGTCTTCATCTTCAATTCAAGTAATATTATTTCTCTATTAGATTTATTATAGTAAAAATTAAATAAAAGTGTAAAAAAAAAAGACAGTGTTTGGATTCGGTCTCATGCTCAAACATGAAAACAATGAAAAATAAAAATTTAACTAAGTTGAAAAATAAACAATACATTTAATTAGAAAAATAACTGAATACTACAAGATCAATGTTTATGTTTTTTTTTTTCATATAATTTTTAAATTAATTCTAAACATTCATAAGTCTAAGAGTTACATACTTTATTCTAGATATCGTAATCAATAGCCAATTAAATCCAAAAACGCTTGTAATGAAGTAATTAATCTTAAAGAAGATTAAGAAAGTCTAAAATCTTGCTATTGAAATCTTTGCTTTTAAATTTGTCAAATTTTCAACCACCTAAGTGTTTGACCTTTAACAAAAATCCACACAATAATCAAATAAGATCTTCTTGAAAGTAAGATTTTATTTGTGCTAACAAGTTTTGTTTCTAAAACAAAAAAATCAAAAGTTCTTTCTAAATATTATTTCTATTAGATAAAGAAAACTATTTTTCTTTTTTATTTTTTATGAACGGCTAAAAATGGGATGAAGGCTTAGAGTTTTAATTGGCTAACATAACATATTTATATAACGAAACTAAATTGTAACCCTAAATATAACATTTGTATTTTCAATTAAGTCTTTATGAACTTGATTAATTTTTTCACTTTATTTTTGTTTGTTTCAATAAAGTTTAACTTAATTAATTATCTTTATTTAATCTCAATCATGTCACTTAATGTATATGACCTATTAGGTTTTTAACATGTTGATAATAAATATAATTCATAATCAAATATTAATTTAATAATTAATTTATATTTGTAAATCTTGAGCAATATCTAGCAACACATCATGACCACCTAAATGTTAAAAAGTCAATTAAAAAATTTGACAAAGCCCTTCAGTGAGAAGTCTCTCAATGCAATATAATATTTTCATCAAATATCCAAGATATGTAATAAAGTATGACTCAGTGTCTACTTATGACATTCTATATTAATTCTCATAATTCATTACTAACTTTACGAATTTAAGAAACTAACTTTCCTAAATTTTATCACGCTTTGACTAAAGTCTTTATTCAAGTTAATATAGAATTGAGAACAAGTGAGATATATCCCTTAATATCACTTGAAGTAATGAATCTTTTTTTGACCACTCATCCACCTTTGTATGTTTCATGACATATCCAAAAACACCATATTTAGGCATCTAGTTGCCTCCAAACCCATAGAGGTAAAATCAAAATATATTATTTTCCATACAAGATAACTTGATGGCTCAAGTTTAAGGACTAATTGTACAACTATCACATAAGAACATATTCCATAAACACTTAAGTAAAATAATAAATGGAATTCTCATAGCAGATCATATCATGTGAACTTGTTTTTTAACAAACACTTACTTGTTACCCTCAAGTATCCCATATACTTCAATCTATGAAATCGATTGCTTACTTTCCAAATAAGGAGACTTAACATGTATTAATCTTTGAGCATTGTTAATGCTCTATCTTGACAATACCATGACCAGAAATAATTTAGAGACATGACTTTGATGCATAGTAATCTCATAATTGTAGCAACTTTACAATTCACTTGTAAGGTCTTCATGTTTTTTAGACTTCATCTAATTAATACTTAATAACTACTTGTTATTATGCTAATATGAAGGAAACTTCTACCACATATAGTTATGCCATTAAGTATGTAATAAATGACAATATATATTTCTTGATCAATCCAATTGACTTAAGGACATATACCAAAACAACACTATTCCAAAAAGTGGTTTACTTAGAGAATTAATTATTTAAGAAGGAAGGAAAGTTGTTTTTTATTCCTTATATTTGGTAGGAAATATAAAAATAGAGGGAATGAAAGTGATGAGTAAAATTATAAATAAAAAGAGTATTTTTCTTCTGATTTAAAATGATTAAATTTGAAAAGAAAGAATAATTGTAAATTTATCTATTAACCTTCGGTTCCTTTTTCTTTCTTCCTCTTTTTCTCTTACCAAACATATTGGTGAATAGAATAGATACTTTCTTTGTGGTGTTGGATTAAGCAAACACAATTACTGCCTAAATTCTTTATTTTCACTCTACCTACACTTTTAGTCAAATAAATATTGGTTTAAACCCTAATTAATGATCTCACCATCTGAATTTATTTTAATGGTCAAAATACAATTTCATTAATTAGGATAAAAAACTCCTAAATGATACTAGCCATGATTGATCTTTTTATATACAAGTTAATGGAAATCATGGTGTGATTAAAGAAGAAAACCGACGAGACTATGATAATTATATTGCTCCAATCAAACTGATTGAAAGTAATGGAGAAGATCTCAAGCCTAATAGATGCAGAGCAGACCGAAGAGAGCAATATAGCTCTTAAAAAATGATACAACTAAACGAAGAGAAGCAGGATTATTATGTGCGGTCACCCCAATGGCTAAGCAGGCCGGTGGCACAATTCAAAATGGGGATAACATGTTTTCTGGTCTCAAAAATTCAAGGAAGATTATGGGCATGACTGGTTGAATTCTGATGATGGCTATGATGCCGATGATGATGATGATGTTAAAGATGAGATGATGATAATAATAATAATACTAATAATAATCATCATCATCATCATAATAGTGGACAAAAGTATCAAAAGCTGGAAAAAGGGTATGGAAATTAATGATTGTTGGATACAAAGAGAATGATTGAGCACACGAGAGAGTATGTTTCAAGGCATCCATAGTTACAATGGTCAACATTCCCCATCATCACTTTTAAAACCCAACTCACATTTACTTGTGAATTTTTTTTAATTTATTTTATTTTGCTTTGATTCATGCTTGTTGTCGACATAGTCAACATTCATTATTCATTTCAGGCTGCTTCATCTTAGTTATATCATAATTAGTAGTAGCTGAGAAGAGAGAAATATCGTAAGATTGAGCTAAGCATGATCTGTATGTATGGTAATAATATGAATCAAATTCATCATATACTTATTTCTCGATTTTTAATTCGAATTATTAAGTTCAAAATTAGAAAAAAAAAATTTTGAGACCTTCCACTATACAATGCGTAATCCTAACTCAATGGACTTTACATGTATTAGAAGGAACTAGTTCATGATCATGCAACCGTTTCCCATCAATTTCAACTCTTTTTTTTTATAATTTTTTCATGAACTATTTTGGTCAAATAACACTTTGATTTCTCAACTATCAGCTGTAGCAAATGCCTTCTCTGTCAATCCTCCTATTAAAATTGAAGCAGCCACGCAAGAAACAAGACAGGCAAACGTGGTTTTTTTGTTATATTTGCTAACCAATGTTGACAGAAAACTGGAAACTCTTTAGAAAGCTTTCAAACCATAATCAATAGTTGGAAAATCAAATTGACCAGGCAATACTTAGATATTGCCCGGAATGATTGTAATAATAACAGGAAGGAAAAGATAACGTTAATTAATGGTTAGGCTTGGAGTACTGAAAACCTGCTTCTTGTTAACTTTTTTATAATATACAAGAATTAATTCAAATCACGCAATTGAAAAATGACATAAAAAAATAGTAGAGCAGGATCCAACATTGAATAAACCCTTTATATATATGCATGGAACCATTTGTCTGACTAAAAATATCATTTATATACCTTGTTCAAGACTACCAGCACAGAACAATCAAAGGATACTTGCAACATAGAATGGTCAAAAACCTCTTCCCAAACCATTAAATTGAGAATTTTATGTAGTCCATATGTCCACGTTAGAAACATGAGAAAATTCCCAATATAACAATAAAAAAACCTAGGCCTGAGCCCAGAGGGATTCAAGGATGAGCTGCAGCCTGGATGGACCTTAAGAATACATGGCTTTGTCCAAAAACATACTTTTATGCAAAGGAATTTTTACAAGAAAAAACAAAATTAGG